TCTACAGAGGGGCCAATGGAGGGGCAGGGGGAAAGTGACAGGTACCACCAATTCACACAGCAAGTCTCGTCCTGGGCATCACATGCAGTCTGGCCAGATGGAGTGGGACTTCCCCTCTTTCCCCACGTCCAGGCCCTTGACACTGACCCCAAAGTTGGAGGCGGCAAAGCGGTCAGAGGCAGACACGTTGGTGGAGGCGGTGGTGTGCGCGTAGTAGGCGTTGATGTTGGCAAGCAGGGTGCTCATGACGGCAGGCACCCCGGGGCACATGTACTTGGAGGAGAGGCAGGCAAAGTGGCTGGTGGGAGGGAGTGGGAGGCACTGGGCCCAGTGTCCAGCTAGGAAGGGCCATGTTCCCCCAACTATCCCCAAGACAGCATCTGTGAGAGACCCCTCCCATGATCCCGCCCTTTAACCAAAGCCAACTCAACCCAGTCAAGAACAACTTCACTTGGAGGCAAAAGCATGAAAATGAACGTCTACCAATTCAGCTCAGCTCCACTCCCTAATTATCAATTTTAACTGGAGTGAACTAACTGGAAATAAATGACCTAGAACTGGTTATAGTTGAACTATACGTAACTCTGTGTGATCTCGTTCACCTGAACCCAGGTAAACACACAACCTGTCAATTCAATCGACTGCTCATGAACCAAAATGAAATACAACTTATCTGAATGCCTGTTTTGTATTATCACTCTTTGAAAGGCTGAGTTGGAGTAGGGGCCATCGGTAGCCCCCAGTTTTCTCTGCCTCCTGCATTCTTGTACGAATTAATCACTCTGGGTTGTAAATTTCCAATTTCTGCATCCTTTTCCTCTAACAGGTTATATAAGACCCTTGAGACCTTATTTATGATCTTGGGATGCTGTAGGTATAGATAAATGTTTATTGGAAGATCTACAACAATTGGGTTGAACTGTATTAAAGAAATGCAAGTCAACTCTACCTTTACTGAACAATAGCTCTCAGTCCGGTACTCTGGTGAAACTCAGCTAAGTTGAACTCAGACAGAACTCACTGAGCGCCTACACTGGGCCAAGTGCTGAGCACTTAGCTATAGTCTACCTAATGCTCATATCTTGTTCAATTTCTCCCGTACATGGACATGGGGGTTCATGACCTTCATTTTACAGGAGAAGAAACTGAGGTCCCCAACAATTAAACGATTCGGGAAAGGGACAGAGCTAGGACTTGGGTCAGGGTCTGGTTGGCATCCACCGTTCCCCCCTGCCCCGCCCCGAGTGCTCACCGGATCAGTCTGATACTCCCGGCTGTAGAGCTCGTGACAGTTGTTGAAGATGTACTCATAAGTAGAGTTGAGGCAGGCTTTCACACAGTCCTTCACCACCTGGCTGGCTCGGGGTGGGCTCTGGAGTTCTTGTACCTAGAGCAGGGCAGGGACACAGGCATAGGTAACCCTGCTGAGACAGGAAGAAGCTCTAAGGCGTTGGTTCTCAACCTTCCGCAGGCTGCGACCCTTTCCTATACTTCCTCAGGCGGTGAGGACCCCTCCCCCCAACCATAACATTGTTTTGGTTGCTACTTCCTTACTATAATTTTGCTGCTGTTACAAATCATCATGTAAAATATCTGATATGCAGGGTGTATTTTCATTGTTACAAACTGAATATCATGAAAGCATAGTGATGAAACAATATGTCATTATATACGGTGAAAGATTTATTTCTAATGACAAATCAATGAAATTTTGTCTTGAAGCCCAGTGTAGCATGGGTAACAGTCTTCACGCTGGGTACTCGTATGTGGGTGTATCTGCATGTGGGCGGACCCACCTAGAGACGGATAGAGGAGCGGTGCTTTGGTTCCTAAGACCATTGGAAATATGTTTTCCGATGGTCTTAGGCAACCACTGTGAAAGGGTCGTTTGACCCCCAAAGGGGTCGCGACCCACAGGTTGAGAAGTGCTGCTCTATGAAAGAATAGGGTCCCTTGCAAAGTGCAGCGCTCTCTAGGAGAGATGTGACTTGTTCTGGAAGCTGAGAGTCCGGGCAACCCCAGATGCCTCCTGGGCCCTCTTGCCTACCTTCATCCGAAAAAAGGTGATGCTGGTGAGAAGGTCCACGGTGGATTTGAGGTCCTGGAGTCTCTCCGGGCTGCTGGCTGGGAAGTTATTCTGTTGGGGAATGAGAGGCGAAGCTGGGTTATGGTAGAAGGTTCAGGGCGGGTGGGAGACAGCCCACCAATGTGTCACCCTGTGGCAGCTGGTGTGTGGTTGTCATGATGGAAAAGTTGCCACCAGGCTTTCAAAAGCCAACAGGGTCACCCATGGTGGGTAAGTTTCCAGACTAAGAGGAACTGGGGGCAAAAACCTTAGGGACCTACCTCTGAAAATTAGCCCCCCCAAATTGTATAGATCACAACAGAATACTGTCTAACAGACTGCTGGAAGATGAGTCCCCTAAAGGCACTAAAAAAACAAAAACAAAAATAAACTCAAGAAACAAAAACACAGCGGTGGAGTCGGCTCTGCCAATGATCATGAATACGGCACAGGACTGGGTGACAATTTGGTGGCCATAACTTACAGTTGACTCAGTGGCAACTAACAACAACAG